AAATTTTGTTCAGGAAAATTAAAAATGTGACGGATGAGAAAAATTTTCTCCATTTTCAAAAAAAAAGTTTCTTTTTTCCTTTCTTTGTTGGAGGAAAAAATATTTCATTTGTGAAAGGAAAATTTGGAGAAAAAAGTGAGTAAAGTGGAGGAAAATTGGGGTATAAATAGGAAAATTCGTTGAATGTTAGGAAAAAAGTCCGTGAAAAATCGATCAAAATTGAGGACTGTTGAAGAAAAATTAGAGGACTATAAATTGGAAAATTGAGAAAATTTTCCTATCAAAATGTGAAATTAAACGTGATGAAAATTCTGTGAAAAATATTAATTTTTTAGGAAAAAATAAAAACTTTGTTCATATTTTTAGGATTATTGAGAAAATGTGAGTAAAATTTGTGAAAAATTTTGGGTTTCATTTGTGGAAAATCTTCAAGGATACCGCTGAATATTGAGGAAAATTTTTTAGTAATTTTAGTTTAATTAAATGACCCCGTGGGATGGCATGTCCCCTCTTTGATTTATAATAGTTTATTCTAACTTAAAAAGTGGGGTCTTGGACACTCCCCGATCTGTGGCTTAGGTCTAATTAATTTTCTTTTGTATAATGGCATCTTTAGTTTTAGTTCTGATGCTAGTAGCTGTCTATTATTTTTAATTAAATTTCAAAAACTTTACTAGTTAAAAAAGTAAAAAATTCAGAATTCTAAGAGTAACCAATAGTTATATCAAAGAGTTTTAGTCAGTAGCTCAGTCAAATAACAATGAATAAGGTGGAGGGATATCAAAAATCCTAGCAATTTTACATAATTTATTTGCATTTACCATATTTTAATAAGATGAGGAAAAAGATGAAAATCATTAAGATGTGTAGCACAGACTTAAAACAGTGATGGTCAGCTCATGTGCCGCGGCACACTAGTGTGCCGAAAAAAAGATGGAATATCTCACGAACCGTATGCTCCTATAAAGTGTGCTGTTCAGGGGCGTAGCCAGGAATTTAAAGAGGGGGGGGGGGGCAAAACATTTTTTGAATCGAAAAATTTAAGGGGAGGGGGGAGGGATTTTTGTTATTTTTTCATAAAAACCCTAGCAAAAAAAGAAATTTCTGTTCACGTTGGGGGATTGGTACCCCAAATGGATGCGCGCTTGGTGCTGTTGCACAAAAAAGGTTGACCATCACTGTCATAAATATATAATAAATCTACTTTAAGAAAATCAATAAAATTAGATAATTTTAGCCTTTGAATTCTACATCTTGACTCTATCAGAGCCATACTTAACTGTGTGCAGCTTGAGAAAATTTCTGAATTAATTCATTTCAAGTTAATTAAATAAGTTTGGTTAATGGGAAAATATTGAGCCTCAAGGTTCATTCTGTGAAGAATTAAAATGCCTTATTGGAAGAAAATTTAGATAAACTTTGAAAATTCTTTAGTTCAATCGGGTTAAAAAAGCTAAATTCTTAAGTTTCCAAAAATCTAAAATTTGACACCCAAGGTCCACCAAAAAACAAACACAATTCCAATAACACACATGCTTCACCAAACAAAAAGTCATAAAATTCATCAAACTTTCATCCTTAAAATATTCAAAATCCATCTTTTTTTTCAACGTCACACACAGATTGTAAGTCGAATGAAACTGTGAATTCTAAACGATTCATGAATTATTCATCAATGAGACATGAAATCTATAAAAGAAATCAAGCAACAGAAATAAAATTTACTCGCTGAGAACTTTTTTTGGGGAGTTGAGTTGAATGAAGGAAAAAAACCCAAATTACTTGCTTCAAGGTCGTTTTACTGATTTCTAGTAGTTTTTAAGATTGTTTAAGATAACTTTGATATGTTTTGATGTTGATGGAGGTCTGGTGAGGACTTAATGAGTGTTTATGGGCTCTGAAGGGATCTATTAAGACCTTTCATGGATCTTAAATAATTATCAGATGTCTAAAAATACTCTCACAGGCTCCAATGAGTCATGAAATGCTCCAAAGCATCATTTCGACCTCAAAAGAACTCAAATACCCCCAAGAAAATTCCATTATATTCAAATCTGCAAAACATTCATAAGATTTTTCCGCCTAACAACCAAAAAAGTCATTTCCTTCCACCTCATTCTCCCCAGCAAAAGTAAAATCTTCCATATTCAAAAAAATACCTTACATAACAATAAATTCTCATCTAAACAAAAAAAAAATCCAGCTCCATTTCCATCAATGAAATAGAGAGCAAAAAAATGTTCTAAATTTAAACAAAAGCAAAGAAAAATCTAATTTTACCTGGCTGAAAAAAAACTTTAACCTTAAAATATATTCGTGCCCATATTTTCTTCAAAAAACTATTAAAATTTTTCATTTAATTATAAACAGATAAGAACAGACACAGAGTGAAAAATTCCTCAAGTAAACCACAACAGATGCCAGTTGAATCAATTGTGATTTTTTTCGAGATTTTTTTGTAGTGATTCACTGGGTTTTTGTGGGATAGGAGCGGGTATAGAAATGAATTTTGAGGGTGTGGGTACCTGTTGATCTTAAAATGAGCCTAGTTTGCTCTTATATCAAATGTTCTGTGACTCAGAAGCTGATTTCATGTCAAAGCCGACTTTATCTGCTGCAACCTTATCAAAACTTCAAACTATGTTAGATGTTTGACAAAAAACTAGCCCCAAATCCTTCAAATAACTCTAATCTTAGTAAAAAATCTCCTCAATAATCTCTCACCCGCACTCCAATATTCCCTAACCTTAATAAAGTAATATAGCCATAATCATAATTTCATGTACCATAAACAACTAAAGTGATAAAAAATTCTCAAAATTATTACTTTTTCCACGAAATCTTGCTTTGTAAAATGCCTTTTTGAAATAAACAAAGTGAAAGGAACAAGAATAATGTTCAAATTTACATTTGTGTCAGTAATTTCCAACACATACAAACTCTCGTCTTAAATTTCCTTTCTCGATACACTTTCCTTCCAATTTTTTTCTGTCTTTCTTCTTTTTTTTCACTTCCATAAAAAAAGTGCTTGTGTGGGAAATAAAAGCTTTTAATTTTTTTTTTGCTTTTCCTTTTTCCGTGAATTTTTTTTTCTTGTAGCTTTTAATGTGTGTTTTAAAGTTCCGTGAAGCTTAGAATTTAAATCGAATATTATTGCAACCTTTGCAATAGTTATTAAATCTTTTGGCTACAAAACTTGAACTATTAAGCTGCAAAACTTAACCATTTGAAGCTTAGAATCTAAATAGAAATTCAATTGATCTTAGTTTGTGTCTTTTCATAAGAATTCAAAGTTAAGGAGCCTTAAATCAATAATTTTAAGATTCAGGTGCCTTCACACTAGTTTTTTCATGAAAAAAGCCGTAAAACTAGGCTTTTGAATTTCAGCTGCAGTCACACTAATTCTATTACTCTTCATACTTGACTTTCGAGGTTAAGGTGCCTTCACACTAAAGTTTTCATATTCATGTGCCTTCACACTAGCTTCGCCAATCCTAAAACATTATCCATATTGAAATTAAATGAAAATTCATTCAAGAAACAAAAGAAAATTTTCTTCAACTTTTTTCATATTATTTATATACCTCATGTCATGTCCAAATGGACTCATTCCTCATTCTTACTCAAACAACAACAACAACATAAAATTGTGAATTCAATCAATGTTCTTGTCTACCAACCTACTCGTCTAAAAAAGCTCTAGCTGTTCCTCCTTCCAATCATACAATCACCATTCAGGTCTGTTGGTAGAGAAAATAAATCGAAATAGAAAAGGAAGAAGAGGAAAGAGGAAAAAAAAGTTTATTGGATGAGAAAATCGATAACATTAATTAGTCGGGCAATCCGGGGCCATGCAATTCAATCGATAGTTTGGCGGGCACATTCATTCTCGAGCGAGTTGTGTGACTTACGAGGAGTGGAGGGAAATAAAAAAAGAATATTCAGAAGGGAAAAAAAATTGCACAGAATGGAATGATAATTGAATTCGATAATTGAAGAGCGAAAGTTTTTATTTCATATTTTGCAGACACGAGTTTTTGAGATGCTACTGGTATGTCCGTGGGATGCAAAGTGTGGATCGTGGAGGTTGGGATTTGTTTTGACTGAATGAAGAAGTTTGTTTATTACATTGTTTACCTAGAAATTTAAAAATCATAACCTCAAAATTTCAGAGTTCTAACCTCAAAATTTCAGAGTTCTAACCTCAAAATTTCAGAGTCCTAACCTAAAAATTTCAGAATTATAACCTAAAACTTACAGAGTCTTAACCTCAAAATTTAATAAAAATGCGCTTATAACCGTCACTCATTGAGTCTCCTCAACTTGCCTTGTTATAAAATTTATTTATATTTATTTTAAGAATGAGAAAGAAAATATTTTTGCAAATAATATAAAAATAAATATACACAACGAAAATGTAGAGGAAAAATGAGGAGAGAAACTGTGGATGGTAAAATAATTGAGGGGAGTGCAAGAGAAAGACTCAACAATTTCTTTTTTTCCTATAAACAATTTTTAAAAACTATTTTTGCAGTTGCTGCTTCTGCTATTGTTGATTATGATTGGATGATTATAGAAAATTATAAGTTTTTAAAAATTATTTTGTTGCAAAAATTGTTCTATGTTCAGTAGGAGCTATAAGAGATGGAGTTTTTAGTGCTCCAAATGTTAATGTATCTTTAATCTGTAGTTCAGGAGATTCAGGTGTCTTCGTTTTATAGTTGTGTGGTTCATGTGCCTTCACACTCAAGATTTGAACTTCAGGTGATTTTACTCTTAGGTTTTTCAAGTTCAGGTGCCTTCACACCAAGATATTAAGATTCAGGTGCCTTCACTCTAGAGTTCCAATGTTTAGGTTTCTTCACACTATCGTTTCAATGTTCAGACGCTTTCATACTAGAGTTTCGAAGTTTAAGTGCCTCCACACTAGAGTATCGAGGTTTAGGTGACTGCACACAAGAGTTGCAATATTCAGGTGCCTTCATACTATAGTTTCGAGGTTAAGGTGCCTTCACACTAGAGTACCAATGTTCAGGTGTCTTTACATTAGAGTTTTGAAATTCAGATGCTTTCACATTAGTGTATCCTCTCCAATAAACCCTCCTAGGTTCTGCACTATTCCAACATGCCAAAATTAAATTTCCATTTATCCACATAAAAATCGTCATCACCTAAAAGTCGTTAAACTTTTTAGGAAAACTCCTACGTAGTCAATTATTTTGCCATCAAACTCAAGACATCCAAACTAAAACAACACGTCAAGTGAAACAAAAAACTTTTATTTTTCATATGCCAGAAAAAAGGTGACTTCCCGAACTTGTTTTAAGGGGAACTAAAAATAATTTACTCTGGCTGATAAGAATCATAAACAGAGTTATCGGTAGTAAATTGGTTGGTAATTCTAGTGATTAACGACACGCAGTCAAAGTTTTAATTTTCATGAATTTTTTGTGTGGGGTGAATTTTTGATGTTTTTTCGGGGGGAGTTTCTAGAAATTAGTTGTTATTGGCAGTTTGGATTTAATATGCAGGAAATTAATTAAGTGTAGATTTGAGTGTATATTGAGGTGTAGCATAACCTAGAATTATTTGAATTGTGAAAAATAACCTTAAAATTCATTGATAGCCTTCAAAATTTAGCAGTTTAACCTGAAAATCAGCATCATAACCTAAAAAATCGCAGCCTATTGCCCCCTGATTTTTCAGAAAAACTATAAACAACAGAATTAATTTCCAATAAGCTCATTAATGAATATAAAGAGTAAATCAATTTACTCATCTCAATTTTAATGCAAGTGACCCCCCTCCCCCTCCCCACCTCCATTGTTATTTGATTGAATATTCTCTTATAGCTTGCTCTTTTTTAAAAAAAGACATAATCAGCTATTAAATTGCATTTAAATCGCTGTGTGAACATGTCTCCATTCTACATTCGACAATTGCATAAATGTTTATGGATGGATGAGAGGAACATGGATGGTATGAGTGATGGAGCTCGTTCACGATGGGGTGTCCATTTGATTGAATGGAGTCGCATATTTCATATAAAATAGGTTGGAGACTTTTATGTACTTTATGATTGAATGAAAAATTGAGTAGCTTTGTGTGTATTTGTGCTGTATGGAAAATCGATACTGTAATAAATATAATAAAAGGGTTTAAATATCAATTTAAATGTTGGCGGTTGAGAGAGAGGAAATTGATATAAACTTCCGGGTGTGGAGTGGAGTGGTTTGGAATGTTTAATTCAATATTATTTAATTTTTCTGGAAAATTTCTTGATTTTTTGAGGTTATGTTTTAAAATTTTTAAGGTTATGTTCCTTATCTTTTATGTCATGTTACTAAATCTTATTTCTAAAGCTAAAGTGTCAAAATTGAGGTTAGATTGGAAAATTTTGAGGTTATTTACCTCCATTTTGAAATTATGATCCTCCATTTTGAGGTTATGATCCGCTTGAGGTTATAAAGATAAAGCAGCATTAAGCAAAACATATCTTTCAAGCTCCGTTCCACATTCTCAGCACTATCCCATAGAGACGATCTCAAACAGTGCAAAAAGAAATTAACAAATGAAAATTATGCAACTCACGTATGCATGCTGCTCCAAATTGATTGACATCACATAGCTTTAAAAATTCCCGCAATTTTTCATTTTCTTCTTTATCCTGGCCAGGCGTTCGCTGACCCAAATTTGTGTTTTATTTTCCCTTCCATCCACTAGACTTCATTAATATGCCTCACCATAGCTGTGCGGTTCGGCCATGAGCTTAAAAATGCAGCCTCGTCGTTCTTTTTCCGTGATAATTAAGGCGCTAATTTGATTAATGACCTGAAAGAGCTGTGCGACTTTTCTTCGTCCTCGTCCTTTGCTGCGTTCAGCTTGTAGCAATTTGGCAAAATTGGAGTAATTTTTTTTGTATGTTTAGAATATTCATGGCATTTGTAGCAATGACCAAACTATTTGAGAATTATTGAAGGTAATTAGGAGTATTTTGTAGTGACATTGGACGACTATTTGTATAATTCCTGTAATGGCACTTCTTGTGTACTAAATATTTATACTTAATTGCTTAATTTGGAGTGATTTAGGGAATGGCAATAAATTTTTAATGCGTAGATAAACATTCCTTGAATGTCTATGGATAATGTATATGTTTAAGTTAAGTTTTGGAGTTCTATTACACTAGCATAGAGATGGGTGTATGGGAATTAAGGAAAAGCTTTCATTTTTGAGGTTAGGTTTGCCAATTTTAAGGTTAGTTGCTTTTTTTGTGTAAAAAATCTATACTCTTGATGTTCTACCTTAAAATTTGAGATTACAATTTTAATTTTGAGGTTAAATTCCAATTTCTGATTTTTTTTCTAATTTTTGAGGTTAGATTGTCTAACTTTGGTACCCAACCAAATTTAATCTTCAACACTAAACTACAAATCAATCTTCATGTACCGTGTAGACAGAAAACATAGATATAAATTAAAGCTATAGTACAAATGTCTAATGAATGCAAGATAACAAAACGAAGACGCCGACAGCATGAGAAACCTAAAAAGATAGAGATTAGAAACGAGGATAGATAAGGAAAGATAATTAGACGATTCGGATGAAGTTTTTTTGCTTTGCTATGTTGGGAAATGTTTGATTGAGTATGTAAGGTTGCTGATTATGTTGAAGGCTATGCGCATTCTGTGGATTTTTAGGGTTAGGATTTGCTTACCATTCTCGAATATTCTCGATTTTGATTCATTTTGTGCATTCTAAGATATTAGGATGTAGATTGAATCAGACTTTGTCATATTCATGAGGAGACATTACAGTTGTTCACAAAAATGACGCACGTCCACTAGATGTCAATCAAAACTACTCGTTCGTCACATTTTGTATTAAAATTGACTCAAACTTTTAAGATTTCACTGTATTAAACTCATATTTGTCATGTAGTTCAACTTACATGACTTAATCTACATTGTTCACAAAGTTATCAATTTTTTCCACTAAACTTTATCCAGTCGACCTCCAAAATCACTTTTAGCATCTCACTGACAATATTCCAGCTCCAAAAATCCCCCAGACCAAGACGAAAAAGAGTCAACAAAGCAAAGTCTTTCGATAAAAGATAATGCACGAGTCTGATAAAACAGAGACATTTGTCATATTGCAGAGTTTTTTTTTATGAACGTATTTTTACGTCTCCGTCTTCTTCTTCCTCCCCCAATTTTATATCTCTTTCATAATTATGACACACAAAAAAAACTTTATTTCTTTCGGATAATTCTGAATTACGTGAACATAAAATTACGACTATGACGACATTTTGAATGATGATGATAATCGTAATAATCATCATAATTTGTAGACACTTTTTTTTCATATGACTCAAGACATTTGGCATGTCATGTTTTATCAATTAGTGTGAGATATTGGACAGATTGGAATTAAAAATTTAGTAGTCGAGCTTTTTTATTCTAGGACAGACGAAGAATTTTTTAAAAATTGGAAAATTAATATTCATTTTTTATCATGAAATGGGAGCGAAAACTAGCATCAGATGGGGTGAGGTTGTTTCATTCACATAATGGAAAGCTGAAATCGTTAAAAATTTATTTATGGATGAGTTTTATTTTTGTATAAAAAATAGCAGAAGCTTGGGATTGGCGGTTTGGGGATGGGAATTGAAAGGTTTTTTATTATAGTTTTTGAAAGGTATAAAGTCAAGGTTTTTGCTGAGATATCTGAATTTTCAGCTCGACTCAAGATGTCAAATTTTTCAACTCGAACCGAGAAGGTCAAATTTCCAGCTCGATCTGAGAAGAACACATTTTCAGCTCAACCCGAGGATAACAAATCGTCAGCTCCAAAAGAGATAACACAAAGTTCAACTAGACCTGAGACAACTGAATTTTTAGCTCGATACGAGAGTAACAAATTTTCTGCTCGAGACGAGACAACCGAATTTTCAGCTCAAAACGAAAAGAACAAGTTCTCAGCTCGATCCGAGATGAACAAATTCTCAGGTCAATCTGACATGAGCAAGTTCTCAAATTAAACTGAGATGAGCAACTTTTCAACTCGATCTGAGGTGAATAAATTTTAAAATTGTACCGAGATAACTGAATTTTCAGCTTGACTTAAGATTACAAGACGGACAAGATGGACTAATAGACTGAAGATCAGTTTGCTTTAAAAAATTATGACGTGCGTTATATTTTGGGAAAAAGTTTACTGTCTTCCCCGAATATGACTTTTACCAAAATCATAGAAATTTGCATAAAAAAACTCATTTAAAACCAAAATTCAAATACTTTCAACACAATCATCAAGAACCCCCCTCAAACTTATCAATCAATTACCTTAAAATAGTAACAATTTTTTCATAGAACAATAAAATAAATTATTTAATATAAAAATACGATGAAAAGTTTCTCAATGTAATATTTTTCTACAATTTATTGCTCACATTTATAGCACCCGTAATAATTTATGCAACATCAACTCAACTAATTTGATAACAATACCCCCACCATACATTCTAATTAAGTTTATGAGAGCTGTAATTTAATATTTTTATTATCATACTGAAAATTTCGATGTGAACTTTTTTTTTAAAAATAAAATAATAATTTAGTGAAAAATTATTAGTTTTTGAGTTGTGGTTTGGAATAAAGTTTTAAGAGAAGTTTAGAAGAGTTGAAAGTTGGTGATTGAGTTGGTAGAAAGTAAATCAAATTTTTTGAGGGTTTTCGTTTAAAAGTTTCTCGTGATGCTGGTTGATTGGATGTAGATTGTAGATGTATTATTAAGAAAGAAGATAATTTGATCAAGTTTGTGGGGAAAAGTTTGGCTGATGAGATTGCAGGGATGGCTTATTGCAGGTTATGATGCCCGATTTTAAGGTTATGTTGCTTAATTTTGAGGTTATTTTGCTTAGTTTTGAGGTTATTTTGCCCAACTTCAAGATTATGTTTCTTAATTGAGGTTATTTTGCGTTAATTTGAGGTTATGTAGTAAAAATTTAAGGTTATGCTGCTTAATTTTAAGGGTCTGTTGCAAAATTTTAAGTTTATGTTGCCTATTTTTGAGGTTATTTTGCTTAATTTTAAGGTTATGTTTCCCAATTTTGAGGTTATATTTCCCAATTTTAAGGTTATGTTGACTAATTTCAAGGCTATGTTGCCCAATTTCGATGTTACTTTCCTCAACTTTAAGGTTATACTACTTTTAAGCTTTATTTTCCTCCACTATTTTATTTGTCAATTTTTACTACCCGAATTTAACTCTGCACGATTTCTTTTTTGCCACTCATGCAATTTTTTTTGCTCTCCTCGGTAACATCCTCAGTCCTAATAAATTTCATTTTTACCATTTAAGTAAGAGAAAAGCCAGAACGGAAAAGTTATTTCTGGTTATCGTTTTATATTGTTTATTTTTTTTGTGACACAGATGCTCCCAATTTATGACAATATGTTATCGTTTTATTCATTTTATGAATTATTTTAAGGTATGTGGGGTGAGTTCTTGTTATACTTTGGGGTATCACTTTTTTAACAATATATACTCAGTTTGGAGTAGTTTACTAATAATCCATCCCACCCTAAAATATCATGAATAACAAAGAGACTACACCCCAGCCAGCAAATAACCAGCTATCACGATTGAAACCACATTCAGTATAAACAAAACACCCACAAAATGCAGACAATAGAAATATTTGATTCTTTTGCAACATAAATACAAATTTCTCTATGAATGTTTTAAATTTTCTTCATTTCGAATGAATGAGGACTGCAGAGCTGTGGCTTTAATGTTGCTATGCATGCTAATTTGTCCAAGTGTAGGATGTAGAAGACTTATAAGAATGAAATAAGAATTGAATGTAAAAAATCAATCAAAATGATGAATTAGGAAATGGAAAATGTTGTTTTACTATCAAAAATAAATCAAGGTATGGGATGTGATTGATGGGTGTGAGATTCTTAAGGCTTGAAATTTGGGTGTTGTGGATTTTTAAGGAGGAAGCAATTGTCATGGGGTGATTAAAATGAGAATTTTCGTCTTAGGAACAGAGTCTTATTGCCTGAATGCTAGTCATGATGTTATTAGGATTCCTAACCTAGTTGATAAAGTCTGACAAAAACTTTAAAGCTCTTCAATACATTTTAAACCACTTGACTAATAAAAAAGGACATTGAGTCATCATCATAATCACAACAAAGAACGAGGACAAAGCAAGCATCGAAGGGATGAGTATGAAGGAAAGATGGCGTGTAAATGCTTAAGTGGAGTTTATCTAGTCACTTATTCAAATTCAAGGACGAGAAACAAGAGCGATTGTGTAGTGTACGGAATAACTGACCTTGAATGGGGCAATAAGAAAGCTCTCGTGACTGCCATATGGTGAGAAGGGATGATTGAGAGTTCTTGAAGGATTTCGTTTAGTATTTACATACGTTTGGTGGTTGTGTGCCGAGATGACTGAATTTAATACCAATCTGACTGAATTTAATACCAATCTGACTGAATTTAATACTGAGCTGACTGAATGTAATACCAAACTGACTGAATTTGATTCCAAAATGACACAAAAGCTTTAAAATGACTGAAAAAATCCATCAAAATGAAGCTTTAAGCTAGCAAAATAAAAATTCAAGCAGTCACTAGTCACTTGCGATTAAATCACGTATTACATTACAACTTACATATCTTAGAAGCAACTCATCACCAATACTAAGACGGTCACTTCTTATCTATCCATCCATTTAACGTTATGTCTCACTCTCATCTAAAACACAATATATACATTTGGTGCTGAGTAAACAGAAGATTTTCATCATACGGACATCTATGTCATTTGATAATAGTCACAATGATGATTATTCCTATTCTTGTTACTAAACATTGACTAATATAATTGTCACTAGCTATTATGCTGTAATGCAGTGGCAATAAAATCAGAAAATTCTTCATAAGATTGTTGGCACAATGATAAAGAATATCGTCAAACTTCCTTGTGTGTGTATCTTTATTTGCTCGTCTATGAGCCGTAAATTTTCTTACTCGTATGAATTTTAGATATGAGAAAATGCGAAGGTCCATGCAGATGACATAAATCCTTATTTTGATGAGATTTTGGATTTGTTTGTCTTGATTTTGTGTTGTTACAAGAGTTTTTACTTCTGGTTTTAGCTGATTTTATTTGGAAATGATTGATATTGGGTATGTTTGGCTGTTTCCTTTAGTTTGCTGGGTTGATCTTTGGTTTTACTAGTGAGCTAGTCACAAGTTGAGTTCCAATTTCATGTATTAGGGTGCCACATGTTGGCTAGTTCAGTTTGATACCTATTTAACCAGGAGACCAACCAGTAAGGCAAACCCCATCCAAATCTGCGCCATATCCTCCTTATAACCAAAAAGCCATCAATTCACACATATTTTCGCCTAAATTTGATTCCAATTTTACTGCCCATATTTCTCCTTTTCTGTTTTTATTACTCGAATTTCCTTTGTGATTTTATTTCTCGCATCTTTTACTATTATAGCTGATTGTTCTTTATTTTATTATTGATTTTCCATGGGATTTGATTTGGATTACGATAGAAAAAAATGTTAGAAATGAAAAATTGGCTTGAAGATGAAGGATAGAAAATAGATAAAAAGGTGCGATGACAAAGGGTTTGGTATGGTAATCTTAAAGAACAATGGGATGGGTGGCATCAATTATTTCCTAGAAAATTTAATTTAATTCTAAATTTTAATTACATTTTGACATTTGAGTCTTATCACAATAATTACATACAGCACTGCATGCTTTGCTACAAACTTTAATTAATGACGTAAATGGAGAAAAAAACTTCAAACTACAACTTTAGAGAGGAAGGAAAAAAAACTCCAATTTACGTCATTCTCATAAATATATTTGTCACTTGTGTAATTTGCCCTTTTTCGGTTAAGGTTTTGTGAATTTCTCTTCTGCTCGAATGACTTTGTCTTCCGTATTTCTATCGTTATATGAGTTTTAACGTAAAAACCCGTATTATGAAATGAATTTTAGAGAACGATGATGTAACCAGATGCCCTTCTACGTTATGTGTAGTCTAAATCTTTCATGCTAGATAAAGTAAAGGAAAATGAAGAAGAAATTGGGGTGGATGTTGATTTAAGATGGGTGGAATGGTTATTTTGTTGAATAAAAGAAGTTTTGATGATTTTTTAGGTATGAACTGCTTCTGACAGTTGTTATCTCATCCATATCCCAAATAGGACCTTTATACCCCTTCCGAAACCTACATACCCCTTTTAGAAGGTTTGTGCCCTTCTCTAAAACCTGCTTACCTTGTTTTTACTCTTGTACCTCTTCCTTAACCTTTATCCCCTTTAGAAATCTTTTTGTTATGACAAAGAGTCTCAAAATCCCATCAACAACTTATAAGACTCCTTATAAAGTTAATAATCCCTCAAAATCCAGTTCATCTCAACAAAATATCTCCATTAACTCAAAAACTACTTAAATTAGCAAATAAAAGCAAATTTTCCATTTTATCTTTATTTCCATCACAACCATTCAAAATGACCACTTAACTTCATTTTCTATTCAAAGAAAATCCGCTAAAAAATTGCTTCATTTTTTAGATCCATGAACTCTGTTCTTATTTTTTTCTTCGTATCCTTCTTCTTTCAACTCGTCGCTTTGTGAAATGTATAAAGACATATTCAGTAAATTGACATAAATTGAGAGCAATGCACAGTAATAATGCCCTGCTGATGCTGTATGAGGGGTTAAATAAGGACATTATTTCTACATGTTTATGGCTTTATGAAGTTTTTTTCTAGTCTGTTGGGTTGATTTCGTCAGATTTTGCATTTCTTTCTGTAGATTTTGGTTGTCCACATCTAAGGAAGTTTTTAGGATCAGCATTAGAAGATTGATAATTCTGGTAGGAGTGGGAATGAGTTTAGTAAGAATGGGGTACACACCTTTATTAAAACAGTGGTATACAGCTTTAATAAAATAAAGGTACACAGCTTCATCAAGTATGGGTGCGCAGCTTCAATTAAAAGGGGTACGTAGCTTTTAAAAATGGGTACACAGCTTCAGTAAGAATGGGTCCACAGCTTTGAAAATTTCAAAAATTGGAAACAACAATTCGCACAAGGATCCTTCACAAAATTGAGATAAAATATGAAATAGCCAGCACACTTTGTTCCATCGAGTAAACCGTTCATCTTTCGACAACCAAGAAGAGTACGAGAAAGAAGAAAAAAAGAAATATTTATTGTGGGATAATATGCAAGCTAAGAATGATAATTTATATCAATGAATTTATAGATGTGGTTTTAGACATTTGAAATACGACATTAGATGCCATACAGCAACGACTGGTGATCTTTCAAGCGTTCTTAGCTCTGACTGCACGGATGAAATGCTTCATTCGGATGAAAATATTTTTTATTGATTTATTTCTGAAATGAACAAGAGAGAGAATTTGTTTTTGTGGTTTTCTCGGAAAGCTTTTTTAATATTTGCTGAAGCTTTTTTATGCTTGAAGGATTGAAAAAATTTCGTGATTGGAAAAAGCTTAGAGCTTGTGATGAAAAATGAATGTTCTGTGAAATGATTCATGAGAATTAAAGAAACATGATAAAAGGAGAGAAGGATTAGGTTGGGTAAAAGGATGTTAAGTCTTGGTTTTCTGGATATTATGGGACTATTTTGAATGAAAATGATACTAAAAGGGGTACTGAAGTACTTCAAGAGGTACCCAAGCATATAAAAGGGATTATCAAGTACTAAATCTGAATATCAAGTACTAAAAGAGGTACTCAAGTACTAAAAGGGGAACTCAAATACTAAAAGGGGTAGTCAAATACTAAAAGGGGTACTCAAGTCCTAAAAAGGGTACTCAAGTACTAAAAGGAGTACTCAAGAATCAAAACTCCCCAACCAAAGATAAACGCGCTCAATACTATAACTTCTCATACAACTTCATCAAGCTTATCTCCGAGCATCCACAAATTGAGATTCTTTCTTGTTAGTTCTTCTCATGCTCTTTCTCATCGTAACTCAATCCGAATAAAAATGTCTTCAGTGGATTGTTTGTAAGTGTATGGCTAATCCTAGTTAAAGATAACAAGAAGATGTTCTTACATAAGATAAGAAAAAGTATTCTGAAATTTTTTTAGGTTATATCACAAAAAAAAATTATTTAATTCAAACTTTAATAAGAAAAGTTCGAAATTAAGGGCTATAAAGATGTTAAGTGGAATGGTTAAGGGTTGTGAGGAATGAAAAATTTTCCAATTCTATTAAATTAACTTCTCCCCAAAGACTTTATTAGACATTCAGCATATGAAAAATAAGTTTTTTTTGGTCTTAAAATGATTTTTGTTCTTATTTTTTTGGCCTCGAGATAACAAATGAATGAAATTTGCGTGAAATTTATGAGCTTTTGTGGCTGATTGTGGATGATTTTTCGTTTTCTTTGAATTGAATGGATGTCTTAGTGAAATATTCATAAGCCTTGCTTAACTATTGGGATGGGTTTTGAATATTTATTCATTTTTGATTTAAGGTGCTTCATTACTAATGACATATTTTATATTTCTTTTATTTTCAGCATCCAGAATATGATTTTTAATGAAGTTAAACATTAAATCGAGTCATTCTAGAGCAAATACTAGTAAAGGTAAGCGTTAATTGTAATTAATATTAAACTAGTATGGTTAAATTGATAACAGGGTCATATATGACAACAGGTGATACAAAAAGACCTTCCCTATACCTGAAGTTTCATCTAATGTATCCTTGGGACTTACAACACTCAATTGTACCACAGAAAATACTCACAACGCTAGCTAAACTCCAAAATAAATTAAAATCATGCCATCGAAAACTCTCAAATTTCATCTCAATTCAAAATAATTGCCATCATTTTTAAAGACAAGCAGCAGTGCCATTTAGTTTCTCAAAAGCATCGTGAAATTAAAAGGACATAACCTTCATGGAATCAAGAAACGTGACTAACAGAATGAAAGAACGAAAATCCTCATTCAATGTAATATCTGAATATGTGTGTATGTCGAGTAGTAAACATCGTCAGGCAGCCGCAATGGAGCTTCTTTCTGTTCAAATTTCACTTCTTCTTCATCCTCGTTTTAATTTACTTTCATGTTTTTTTTTCTCATTTTTTGTTTGCTATTTTTAGCAACATTTGAGAGAGCGCACATGAAAAATTGTTCCCTGTGTGTGTGTGTGTGTGTATGTGCGTGTGTATTTGTTAACAAGATCCATAAACTTTTAATTACACTCTGAAGAATTTTCTTTCATTTTCATTTTCATCTTCTGTCTTTCTATTTCACACACAGAGAGAATATATTTATTGTTCATCACATTTTGAGCTGAACTTTGTGGCTGTTCTGAATCGTTTTGAGTTTAGAATTAGATCTTGATAGTCCTTAAGTGGATTTTGTCAATTTAATTTAAGTTTGTAATGATGATTTGTTTCTAAAAGCATTGACTTATTTTTTGGCTGTTGACTTGATGCGTTGACTTATTTTTAAATTTCTGCTTTGGAGTGCCGACTCATTTTAAGTCATTGCCTTGAAGCCTCGCTTTATTTTTGTGCAAAATTTGTGTAGCGTTGACTAATTTTGAGTCTTTGCTTTAAAGCGTTTACTAATTTTGAGTCGTTGCTTTAAAGCGTTGACTTATTTTTAGTCGTTGCTTTAAAGCGTTGACTTATTTTGAGTCGTTGCTTTAAAGCGTTTAGTAATTTTGAGTCGTTGCTTTAAAGCGTTGACTTATTTTGAGTCGTTGCTTTGAAGCTTTACTTTATTATTTGGCAAAGTTATTGAAGCTATGTCAAAATTTGAGTCGTTGCTTTAAAACGTTGACTTATTTTGAGTCGGTGCTTTGAAAAGTAGCCTTAATCAGAGTTTTTTTCTTCAAATTTTATTAATTCGTTCATTTTAATATTGAATATGCCAAACATATCACATGATCCCCGCTGTGCGACCCAAAACATCTTCAATCTATCACAAAATCCTCATAAATCCCCACAAGGAATCCAAACAATCGAGAAACATTTCAATTCCATCCATTCTTATGCTTGTTAATTACATGTCATTGTTGTGAGAATTGAGATGGAAATGAAAGCAATGAATTGATATGTTGGGAATAGAGCAATCAGAAATGGCACATTTAAGGCTGCTTCTTGCATATTTGAAAGAGTGAAGAGCTGAATTTCATTAAATATTATAATCCATGGGAATAAAAAGGAGAGATTTATGGGAAAATGAATGAAAATCATCCCCATTGAAAAAAAGGGAAACAAAAATAAGGCAAAGGAGGCTCAATCTTCTTATGGGAATTATTTTTAAACAAAATTATTCTCGACATTTCTGACTTGCTTTTTTATGGCACTGAAGATTTCTGGAGCAAAAACAAGTTGCTGGGATTTTTTGAACGAAAAAGTTTTTTGTTTTTTTTTCGTTTATTTTCAAGGAAAACTTTCAAGAATTTTCATTGAGATTAAATTTTGTGAGAATTTTCCCCGACAAACAAAATTAAAGTCATGCTTTGAGAATTTTTTCTCGGTCATGTCGCATTAAATTTATTGCTCTTATGTGACTCATTTCAGTTTAGAACTTGAGATCTCCTCCCATATTGATGTTCGTTCTCATTATTTTTATGGATTCTGTCAGTTATGGAGGAATTGTTGCTAATATTCGTGCTTTGTTTGTGAATTTTGAGAGCTTTAGGGCTGATTTTGAGATTTTTTGAGCATAGTTTGGAACATAACCTCAAAGTTGTGGAACAAAACCTTAAAATGGTTGAACCTTTCCTCAAAAATCGACAGCTTAACCTCAAAATTTTGACAAGATTTTAACCTAACCTAAAAAAATCGACAGCATAACCTCAAAATTTAATAAAAATTCAAACTAAACACCAAGAAAACATCTCAAGCTCCTCAAAAAGCCTTTCATATCCAGTCAAAAACTATTCAAGTCATGCCAGCATGTGCACAATACACACTGTGACTCAGCAATGATACAGAAGTACTCGGAAAATTAATTTATTTATTTAATGAAATATTTTATACATCCATTACGAGAAAAATAAACTTTCAGTATCTGCTGCTTAAATGTAACCAGCTACAAGCTAAAGTAGCAAAAATGTTCCGCATATTTAATGAAATTACAACAAGAGAGCGAGAGAGAGAGAGAATAATATGGAAAAATTAATTTTATGTTCACTAATTTTGTTAATTGGGTTTTGAATAAATAGTGAATGTGTAGCTAGTTCCTTAATGGGACGATGAAAATTTTATGATTGTCGATTGTCTTGTGGCTGAATTCTGTTATATTTAGTGGATCTGGTAGTGTGATTTTGGAAACTTCGTGACTCTTCTCAAATTGGCTGAGTCTAACCTTAAAATTGCAGATTCTAACTTCAAAAATTCCATCTTTAACCTCAAAATTTTCAAATCTAACCTCAAATTTTTTCTTTAATTTTATTAAATCTTTTAATAATTTAAGCAGTACGACATCCCACTCCCACCTTTAACATAACTCAATCCACCACCATCAAGAACCATTAAATCAAAAATTAAAACTTCAATCACAAAACCCAAAAACCAAGTGCCAATTACAATTTAATATAAAATTTTCATTAAAACATTAATGAACAACCGACATGCTGCCCATTCAAGCAAATACAAAAAACACAGTCGAGTTGAAATTTTAATTTTTTTACTGTTATTTTACAAGACCTGAAATGAAAAATTCATAGTGGATGGATGCTGAAATAAAAATTGAAGGCGAATTATTTTAATATTATTTTATAAAAAAAAAAATCTCATCGACATGTGATTCTATAAATATTGTAATATGTACTGTAAAGTATGTGAGAATGTGGATATGAAATTTTATGAGATAGAAAATGTAGGAAATAAATTTAATAATTCAATGATTTAACGTCTTTCTGAAATTTGAATTTTCAACTGCTTTTTAAAATTTGAATTTTTTACTTTTTCATATTCACACAAAATTTTCAATTTTTGTGAATATATTTTAAATTCAATTTTTATTTTTTTTAATTCCAATTTTTGCAATCTTTTCTAAAATTCTATTTTCGGAATTTTTTTTTAAAATTTCAATTTTCGGAATTTTTTTAAAATTCAAATTTTACCTTAAAAAATTGAATAAATGATGGCATAATTAGAATATATAATAAAAAACCAGTCACAAGGCACGAAAATATCACAAACATATTTATTCATACCGAAATTCTCAAAAATTTACATACATTTATGCTAAATATATTCCATGCTTATTCTCAATTTTTTTCCTATACTTACTCGTATTGGATGTCTCATTTCCAGTTCATTCACGTGAAATAATTTGGATATTTTTATAGATCGAATAATTTAGATAATTTAGGATATTTGGACACAAATGTGCATAATATTCGACAAAAATTATCATATGAAAATGTTTTATAAAAATATTCATCGATGTCATTTTGATATGTTATGGTTGGGGTGTGAATTGAGTGTCTGAATATAGACTTTTGGGTGTGTAGATGTTCAGATTGATGGCATATAGCTTTGATTTTTTTAAAATTTGCAGAGATTGGCAATATTGTATTAAAAGTTGGTGTTTTAACCTTAAAATTTGGTCACATAACCTCAAAACTGAAAAAACATAACCTCAACAATGAGCAAAATTACATCAACATTAAGCAACATAACTTCAAAATTGAGCGACTTAAACTAGAAATTGAGCCACATTACCTCAACATTGAGCAACATAACCTCAAAATTTATCAAAAAACTAATAATTCTGAAAATTATCCACAAAATTGGGATCAAAATCTCAAAAATTGGCAGCATAACCTCAAATTTAGGACCAAAATCTCAAAAATTGGTAGCAAAGATTCAATTCAAAGTACACTAACCTCACTCCTTCCCCATCCCATTAGCATATAGCAACATAATCCAATCCACCGTGCACGCAAATCCAAAAATATCATTTCAATGTTCACAAAAAAAAATAATTGATGTGTCGAGTGAACCAAAGCTTTTTCCTTCTGAGGACACAAAAATGTAGATGAATTGAAAAATTCTCCCTGAAAAAAAGTTTATTTAAAAATCGATCGATAGAATAAAAAAAATTCTCTTCTTTTTTTTCTCTCCAAAATATTTTTTTTCTCTCACAACTTTTTTGCTCCCCAAAAAAAAAACAAAGTTTTTATTGAACGGCGAGAAAAAGAATTGAGAAACTCACATAAAACCGCCCCTATAAAGGTCAGATACCTCATTGATTACTCAATATTATTCGTAGTGTACCGCATGAAACAAAAAACATTTGCACGTACATGGAGATAAGATACAAAACGATTTCGCTAATCGAAATTATGACACGGTTGAGAATAAAGAAACGGTAAAACTTTTAAGTTTGGGGTTGTTTTGTCAGTTTGGGGTATGGTTGAGGTTATGTTTTCCAATTTTGAGGGAATATTATTAAACATAATATTGAGGTTGACTTTTCCAATTTTGAGGTTATGTTGCCAAACTTTGAGACTGTGCAGCTTAGCTTTGAGGTTAGGTTCCTCAATTTTGAGGTTATTTTATCAACATTTGAGATTCAGCTTTCCAATTTTGAGGTTGTGTTGCCATATCTATAA